CCTTCCTTGCCCTTCCCTCACCTTCCTTGCCCTTCCCTCTCCTTCCTTGCCCTTCCCTGTCCTTCCCTTCCCTGCCCTTTTCTTCTTTCCTCTCCATTTCAATGACTTTGGGAAGCTTACAGTTCAGAAATACATTACAATCAAAACCTTTTTTAAAAAATATGAAACAATAAAAACAGTGAAAACCTCAAAACATTCAGACCTTTTGACCTCTCTGGACCCTTAAGGCCTCTGCGAAGCAAGCTGGCTTCTCTTTGTCGCTGGCCCATCCTACTGCTTGCCCCGCTTTCAAACCAAACCCAAACCGGGTTATGCCAGCTAAAGAATTTTTCCCCCCGGGGAAATAACTACGACATGGATCAAAACATGCCCTGTACACACCACTCTCTTTCCTTTTGTTCAGCTCTTAATTTTTTAGGGCACCCTATAATCAGAATGAAATTATGATACACATTTGAAGTTTTAGCTACCAGCAGCATTTCTGGTGAAATGGGATGGACTGCCTTAATTCTTAACACGTTGGTGTGATAGAGGAAGCAACTTCTGTTAGGAAATGTGGAAAAAAAACAGAGGCTTCCAATATAGGTGGTTATTTTTTTTATTTTAAATAAACCTGGCATATCTGTAGTGCTTCCAATAGCTAAGAGCATTTTACACGTGTGAGTTCTCATGACAAGTAAACTCATAATCTCAGGTTTATAAAGCAAAGTTCACATCCTAAGTTAAAAATAACAACAACAAAAAATTGCATTCTAGTTCACTGATCTGTACCAATTCAGCCCTTATCTAGCAAAAAGTAATTGCCAATGTATTCCACTAATCTAGAATTATTTTAGAAAAGCGTGTTCTTAAATGGCAAATTAGAAGAACAAACACCCGTGACTCAAACCATTGCACTGCCCTTTGTCTAAGGGCAGTTAGACAAAGTCTGATGTGGCTACCAAAACCCTTTTTTCCCCACAACCAATATGTTGAAAGGTTATATGTGTCATATTCCATGCTGTGTCCATACTATCCATGCAAAAAAAGATGTTGAAACCCTGGAAAGTGTGCATAAAAGAACAACAAAGATGATTAGGGCAGAGGTGTGATTCAATTTTTTTTACTACCGGTTCTGTGGGCGTGGATAGGTGGGTGTGGCTTGGCTTGGTGGGTGTGGCAGGGGAAGGATACTGTAAAATCCCCATTCCCTCCCCACCCCACTAACCTGCTTTCCAGCTCCGTTCTCCTGTGCAGGGCAACCAAAGAAGCTGAGGCCCAGCCGATCAGCTGGGACTCAATGGGAGGCAGAGAATAGATGGGGTTGGTGGGGCCAGTCAGAGGCGGGATTTGCCGGTTCTCCGAACTACTCCAAATTTCCTCTACCGGTTCTCCAGAACTGATCAGAACCTGCTGAATACCACCTCTGGATTAGGGGGTCTGGAGACTAAATTGTATGGTGAACAGTTGAAGGAGCTAGTCCCAAAGGTGCTTTTTTCAAGAGGCAACTGGACTTTCTGGTTTTTCTTTGAAGACGTTTCACTTCTCCTCCAAGAAGCTTTTTCAGCTCTGACTGGATGGTGGGGAATGGAAGGATTCCATCCAGTCAGAGCTGAGGAAGCTTCTTGGATGAGAAGCGAAACATCTTCAAAGAAAAAACAGAAAGTCCAGTTGCCTCTTGAAAAAAAAATAAACCACCTTTGGGACAACCATGACCTGGATGACTGAGAATCTCCATAGACATTGAGAGAACCAGGTATATCTAATTATCGAAGAGAAGGATGGGGCGATAACTGTCTTCTAGTACTTGATGTCATGCCCCTGTCGGAGCCTGAATCCAAGGAGGAAGACGAACAGCTGACAGGGAGTGGAAGTGTGGCTCCGTTGATTGGAGGAAACTGGAGAAGGGCAAAGTCCAGCTGGGCAGAGCAGGAAAGAGGTAGAACAAGGGAGAGTGGGTTCAGAAGAAGACCCAGGCCCACCCTCTTTTCATCCTAGGGCACGCAGGGAGGAACGGAGAAGAAAGCAATTTGGGTTGTGTGGCTTACGGGGGAGGAAAGGGCCCTGATTCCCTTCATTAGCCATACATGGGAAGAGAGTTTAAAAGAGATGCATGCTGAGTGCGGTGTCTCCTGGGAACAAACATGACTTTATCTTGTGTTGACTTTGCTTATCTGTGTTCCTGGCATCTTCCCAGCTGTGTGGAGTTATTGCCATGCCTTCATGTCTGGAATTCCTGCTCCCACCCTGCCAGAATAATTACCTCATTTTGCCTTGTTTGGGCTTATAGTTACAATTTTTGTTGACCACGTTTTGGACTTGATTCTCTGCAGCCAAAGGCTGTTCCTGGGAGAGTTTTTCTCCAGCCCAGAAGGTAACCAGGACATCTGACCGTGTTGCCTTTGTGCCCCGCCCCTTTGGGTCATCTCACTTGAGGAGCTATCGTAGCGAAGAAGGGATTGACGTGTTCTCCAAAGCACCAGCAGGCAGGAGAAGAAAGAATGAGTGGAAGCTTGTTAAAGAGAGATCCAATCTGGAAGTAGGGAGAAATTTTCAGAAAGTGAGAACAATGGAATAGCCTGGAGTTGTGAGTCTTCCATTGCTCAAGGGCTTCAAAAATAGACTGGACAACCATTTGACCAGGAATGTATAAGGTCTCCTGCCTTCAGCAGGGGGTTGGACTAGAAGACCTCTAAGGCCCCTTCCAGCCCTATGGTGCTATTCTGAATTCTCTCCTTCCTTCTTCCCACAGGGCAAATCTGTGCTGGCAATGCAATCTCAACAGGAAGAGTTCTTTGCTTCTCGCCTTTTCATGTCCTTCCTTGCACATAATTATTATTAAGATGCCAATGCTTAAATAAAATGCATTTGTCACAATATATTTAATAAACTATAAATTACGGCAGTTGGCCAGAATGCAGATTGCGTGCCCATGTGTGCCTTCTGGCTCCAATAGATATAACTTATATTTTTATACAAGTTTTAACCAATTGCGGCGTATCAGTTGATACCACTTAGTCTTAGAGGAAACTGAGTCGATTCCTGTTGCTTGTTGCTATAATTGTTATCATAAAACACAGGAAAATTTAAATGTATCTTTCACCAATTAGTGGCATTTAAAGTGTGGGAAATCGCTCTGTCTAAAAACAACCAAGGTTATTTAAAATGAGAGTGAGTAGTGAGCTGTTCGTATTTAAGGTATTCAGAGAACAGAGTGCTTTATAGTAAATCAGCTCTCCAATAGAGGTAGACCTCAACTTATAACCACAACTGAGCAACACATTTCTGTTGCAAAGTGAAACAGCCGCTACGTGAGTTTTGGCCAGTGGTGGATTCAAATTTTTTTACTACCGGTTCTGTGGCCGTGGCTTGGTGGGTGTGGCAGGGGAAGGATACTGCAAAATCCCCATTCCCTCCCCACCCTACTAACCTGCTTTCCAGCTCCGTTCTCCTGTGCAGGGCAACCAAAGAAGATCCAGCCAATCAGCTGGGACTTGAGAGGCAGAGAATAGATGGAGGCGGGGCCAGTCAGAGATGGGATTGGCCGGTTCTCTGAACTATTCAAAAATTTCCACTACCGGTTCTCCAGAACTGGTCAGAACTGGCTGAATGCCACCTCTGGTTTCTGTAGACATGCCCTTATCTTAACGTGAAAGATTATTTCCCTTTGCCTTTCCTTTGTTTCCTTCGTTTATTTTTCTTGATAAAGTTTTCAGTGTTTGTTTTATGTCTCTTTGTAC